TTATATATCCACAGTTGCAAGAAAAAGTATGTGAACCCCCATGGGATTACGTGGTATCCATTGCATGTCTTGGGTATAAAATGTGCTTAATTACATTTAAATCATTCTAAGTCCAAATAAAGAACACAGTATCTATATTATAGGTAAACACAAATCATATTGATTCTGCCTCTATGTTTAATTGCAAAATATATCTGTAACAAGAATCCAGAGGTCCTTTCCCATCATCATAATGCCATCAGGAGTGAACCTTCTCCAAAGTTTAAGATCTGTCTGACAGTCTGCCCTAAAAACACCAAAAAAATTTCTGTTGCTTTGACTTCCCAGATTGGAGCCAGGAGTTGATAAAAAAAGATACAGCTTTGCCAGAAAAAACACAAATTTTGCTCCCATGGGCCTTTATTGTATTCAAGAAGCACTGTATGTGAACCATTGTCGCAGAAAATAATTTCTCAGAATTCATACTACAATTAAGAATTGTTGACTTGCATAATAAATTTGGAAAGGGTTACAAATGTATCTCTTCAAGTGCCTTGATGTTCATGTGTCCTCGGTAATTCCAGATCATCATGTCACATAATGTGTAAAGCGAATTTACACTATAGTTGCAAAACTCTCTCATGTGCACCGTCGTCCTCTCAAATAAACTGCATGAGAGCACTTGCCATCTTTAAATAAGCTGGCATTAGGTTTTGACTATCCCAGAGTTGCAAGCTAAATATTCCTACTAGAATGTATAGATCTACATGCATTAATGATAGGTCATCTTGTTGACTCCACCCAAAAGTGGAAAGTTCTGCTTTAAGGACAAGAATGGCTTCCCCATTAAGGATTGGCACCTTTGGGAGCAGGGGGGCAGCAGCAGGTACCCGAATTTGACAGGTACCCGCTCCCACTTCTGGTCCGATCACCTCGGCGATCGGAACTATGGAAGGTGTACCTCCCTGAAACCAAGATGTAGTTTTTGGGGAACACACAACAGGTCCCAGAAGACACACACCATTCACGAAGCGCAGCATTACTGCGAAACATGGCGGAGTGGAGCATCATGGTGTGGGGCTGCTTTGCAGCCGGGCCTGGCCCGGATTTATGTCAGCCTGATGGGAAAATGAAGAGGGCCGAGTTTTATCAAGACATTTTGCAGGAAACCACGACATCTGTCCGCCAACTGTAAGCTCCGCAGAGGATGGGTGATACAACAGGACAATGACCCAAAGCTGCATTACTTAATTCAACAAAACAATGGCTGCAACAGCTCTTTAAAAGGTTATGCCTTCTGCTAGTGGCCCAGTCCAGGAAGTCCTGACTCTCAACCCGATGGGAAATGCTGTGCATTCTTATATTTTTCCTAAAGTAAGCGATCACACCTGAATCCCTGGATCTTGTTGAGTTTTTTGATATCAGATCGTTGTGCAGGTCTGATATGCAAATTAAGGAAATGTTTGGTTGAGGTGTATTTTATTGACATCCCTACTACACTGAAATATGTCTATTTCTCTTTCTATGCAATGAGTGCAACTACAGGAATGTTTGGTTGAGGTATTATTGCTGCCAAAGGAGGGTAACAGTTATATAAGTCCAAAGGTTCACATAATTTTTCCTCCCTGCACTGGAATGTTTACATGTTATGTGCAATTAATCCATGGCAAAATCTAATGTTTGTGTAGTTTAATGTTAGCCAGCAGACTGTGTTCTTCTATGTTGTGACTTAGTGACGTTCAGAGCACATTTTTATGCCCAATTCCATGCAAAACTCCACAAATTTTTATCCACAGGGGTTACATATTTTTTCTTGCAACTGTATATATATATATATATATATATATATATATATATATATGGGATTAGAGTTTGGGACTATTATATTGAAGAAATATATTTGGAATTATTTCACTGACACTAAAAAGGTTTATGTTTTATAGTATTGCTGGTTGGTTGATGCTTTTGCCCGCACACAGAAGCAAATGGTGTTACCACACAGCTGTGCAAACAGGAAGTGATTGGAGCTGCTCTGTCCTAGTTCTCTATTATTTCCCAGTGCATTCTGGGATACAGGAACCACCTTTGCCTTTCCCCAGGGCCCAGCTAACACTTTATCAATGCTTCACTAACACACAATAAAATGCTAATGGTGTGGTTACAGAGCATTACCATTGAAATCAATGGGGGCGGCTGACAAGTTTCCATGCCTCGTGAAAGAGAAATTCATATGAATTTCTCTTTCACGGGCACCACCTGCAACCATTCTGCAGAATGTAACTTAATTTTGCTACATACAGTCAGGTCCAGAAATATTGGGACATCGACACAATTCTAACATTTTTGGCTCTATACACCACCACAATGGATTTGAAATGAAACGAACAAGATGTGCTTTAACTGCAGACTGTCAGCTTTAATTTGAGGGTATTTACATCCAAATCAGGTGAACGGTGTAGGAATTACAACAGTTTGCATATGTGCCTCCCACTTGTTAAGGAACCAAAAGAAATGGGACAGAATAATAATCATAAATCAAACTTTCACTTTTTAATACTTGGTTGCAAATTCTTTAGACATCACCAGACGCTGGGTTTCATCCCTGGTGATGCTCTGCCAGGCCTCTACTGCAACTGTCTTCAGTTCCTGCTTGTTCTTGGGGCATTTTCCCTTCAGTTGTGTCTTCAGCAAGTGAAATGCATGCTCAATCGGATTCAGGTCTGGTGATTGACTTGGCCATTGCATAATATTCCACTTCTTTCCCTTAAACTCTTTGGTTGCTTTTGCAGTATGCTTTGGGTCATTGTCCATCTGCACTGTGAAGCAGCGTCCAATGAGTTCTGAAGCATTTGGCTGAATATGAGCAGATAATATTGCCCGAAACACTTCAGAATTCATCCTGCTGCTTTTGTCAGCAGTCACATCATCAATAAATACAAGAGAACCAGTTCCATTGGCAGCCATACATGCCCACGCCATGACACTACCACCACTATGCTTCACTGATGAGGTGGTATGCTTAGGATCATGAGCAGTTCCTTTCCTCCTCCATACTCTTCTCTTCCCATCACTCTGGTACAAGTTGATCTTGGTCTCATCTGTCCATAGGATGTTGTTCCAGAACTGTGAAGGCTTTTTTAGATGTCGTTTGGCAAACTTTAATCTGGCCTTCCTGTTTTTGAGGCTCACCAATGGTTTACATCTTGTGGTGAACCCTCTGTATTCACTCTGGTGAAGTCTTCTCTTGATTGTTGACTTTGACACACATACACCTACCTCCTGGAGAGTGTTCTTGATCTGGCCAACTGTTGTGAAGGGTGTTTTCTTCACCAGGGAAAGAATTCTTCGGTCATCCACCACAGTTGTTTTCCGTGGTCTTCCGGGTCTTTTGGTGTTGCTGAGCTCACCGGTGCGTTCCTTCTTTTTAAGAATGTTCCAAACAGTTGTTTTGGCCACGCCTAATGTTTTTACTATCTCTCTGATGGGTTTGTTTTGTTTTTTCAGCCTAATGATGGCTTGCTTCACTGATAGTGACAGCTCTTTGGATCTCATCTTGAGAGTTGACAGCAACAGATTCCAAATGCAAATAGCACATTTTAAATGAACTCTGGACCTTTTATCTGCTCATTGTAATTGGGATAATGAGGGAATAACACACACCTGGCCATGGAACAGCTGAGAAGCCAATTGTCCCATTACTTTTGGTCCCTTAGCAAGTGGGAGGCACATATGCAAACTGTTGTAATTCCTACACCGTTCACCTGATTTGGATGTAAATACCCTCAAATTAATGCTGACAGTCTGCAGTTAAAGCACATCTTGCTCGTTTCATTTTAAATCCATTGTGGTGGTGTATAGAGGCAAAAATGTTAGAATTGTGTCGATGACCTGACTGTATCTGACACCAGTAAAAATACCAGTCACTATGTGGTCACATGCATAGTACCGTTAGGGACAGATACCTGCCATGACAATCCTGTTTAAATGGCCCTTGGCCTTTCTTTCATCGATCTATACACTCACCGGCCACTTTATTAGGTATACCTTGCTATTGCAAGGGGAAAATATCCCCCACACCATTATACCACCACCAGCCATGCTTACATGTTGTTTATGCCAGATTCTGACCCTACCATCTGAATGTCGCAACAACCAGTCTGCCCATTCTCCCCTGACATTAACAAAGCATTTTCCTCCACACATCTGCCGATAATTGGATATTTCCTCTTTTGTGGACCATTCTCCGTAAACCCTAGAGGTGGTTGTGCGTGAAAATCCCAGTAAATCAGCAGTTTTTGAATACTCAGACTAGCCCGTCTGCGAGCAACAACCATGCCACGTTCAAAGTCACTTAAATCCCCTTTCTTCCCCATTCTGATGCTCTGTTTGAACATCAGCAAGTTGTCTTTACCACGTCTAAATGCATTATACAAGGGAAATTTCCCTATATATGCTAGATGTAGAACACTGTTTGTCAATCTGGATAGTACTGCTTGAAGATCCTGAGCTTCCAGTGTGATCGTCTCTTGAAGGATTTGCCAGTTTATATCACAGTCTTATGCCCCAAAGGCACAGGATCCTCAATTCCCTGACACCGCTCAGCTGTCTATACAGATAAATGGGTTTTTTCCAGCACCAAGCACCAGTATTTTGTGCATGCAAGGCTCCTACCAGTTCCTCAGTTCACATATTCCACAAGTTTTATTATGTGGATGTGGTTGCATTTGCTGATCCTAGCATTATACATGCATAAGGTATAGGCACTAGTTTAGGCTGTGCCCTTTGCTTTGCCTAGAGTCCAATCACCTGGAGGCAGAAGCTAACCCTAACATAGATGATTACATACTGTGTCCCCCAATGTACAACTGGGGAAAAGGCACTTATGAGGTATTCAAAAATTACCTCTTTAACTCTGGCCAAAAATTTTTTTTTTATTTTTAAGTGTAAAAATGTATAAGAATTGAATTTGTAATATGGAACGTGTCTCATTTCATAACCTTCTCCTTGTATTTCTTCAACAGCCTCTATTTCGTCATTGGAGCTGGTATTATTCTCTTTTTACTGATTGTTGCTTCAATTATCAGTTGTATCTGTAAATCGCTCTGTCTGTGCTGCAGACTTTGCGAACAACAGCGTAAGTAATAAGCCTATAACACTCTAAACTGTGTGATTGGATTGTCTGTTATATGCAGTGTACATTATTTTACAGAAAATAAGCCTTAAGTTGGCCCTAGATGGATTGAAATTTGGCCGGTTTAGAAGGACCAGCTGAATTTCCATCTATCTACAGTTGCAAGAAAAAGTATGTGAACCCCTTGGGATTACTTGGAGGTTTGCATGAATTGGGCATTAAATGTGCTCTGAACATCATCTAAGTCACAACAATAGAAGAACACAGTCTGCTGAACATAATACTACACAAACATTAGATGTTGCCATGGTTTAATTGCACATTATTATTATTATTATACAGTATTTATATAGCGCCAAAGGGTGTGCTCAGCGCTGTACAGTAGCAAGGGGGACAGAACATGAGACAAGACAGTAACAATACACAATAGGGCCCTTTTGAGCTTACAATCTAGGAGGGAGGGGAAGGTGACACAGGAGGAGATGGCTGTGGGGGATGGAGTGGCGGGAGGAGTAGGAGGAGGTTAGTTGTTAGGTGAGGTCGGGTGTTTGGTGAGGTTGGGGTAGGCTTCCCTGAAGAGGAGGGTTTTCAGGGTGCGCCTGAAGGTGAGGAGGGTAGGCGACAGTCTGATGGATTGGGGTAGGGAGTTCCAGAGGATGGGGGAAGTCCTGGAGAAGTCCTGCAATCAGGCGTGGGAGGAGGAGACCAGGGAGCTAGAGAGTAGGAGGTCCTGTGAGGAGCAGAGGGCACGGGTAGGGTAGTATTTGGGTATCAGGTCAGTTATGTAGTTTGGGGGCAGCATTGTGAATGGCTTTGTAGGTCAGAGTTAGCAGTTTGAATTTGATGCGTTGGGCAATCGGGAGCCAATGAAGGGATTGGCAGAGGGGGGAGGCAGATGTGGAGCGGTTGGTGAGGTGGATGAGTCTAGCCGCTGAGTTTAGGATCGACTGGAGTGGGGATAGCGTTCGTTGGGTAGGCCAAAAATACATAACATTTAAACATTCACAGTGCAGGGAGGAAAAAGTATGTGAACCTTTGGACTTAATAACTGGTTGACCCTCCTTTGGCAGCAATAACCTCAACCAAACATTTCCTGCAGTTGCAGATCAGACCTGCACAACGATCTGGAGTAATTTTGGACCACTCCTCTTCACAAAACTGTTTCAGTGTAGCAATATTCTTGGGATGTCTGGTGTGATTCACTCTCTTAAGGTCATGCCACAGCATTTCAATCGGGTTGAGGTCAGGACTCTGACTGGGCCACTCCAGAAGGCGTATTCTGTGCTGTTGCAGCCATTGTTTTGTTGAATTACTTGTATGCTTTGGGTCATTGTCCTGTTGCATCACCCATCCTCTGCGGAGCTTCAGTTGACGGACAGATGGTCGTACGTTTTCCTGCAAAATGTCTTGATAAACTCTGGAATTCATTTTCCCATCGATGACAACAATCCGTCCAGGCCCTGAGGCAGCAAAGCAGCCTCAAACCATGATGCTCCCTCCGCCATGTTTTACAGTGGGGATGAGGTTTTGATGTTGGTGTGCTGTGCCTTTTTTTCTCCACACATAGTGTTGTGTGTTCTTCCCAAACAACTCAATCTTGGTTTCATCTGTCCACAGTATATTTTGCCAGTAGTGCTGTGGAACATCCAGGTGCTCTTTTGCAAACTTCAAACGTGCTGCAATATTCTTTTTGGACAGCAATGGCTTCCACCGTGGTGTCCTCCCATGTACTCCATTCTTGTTTAATGTTTTCCTTATTGTAGATGTGTCAACAAAAATGTTAGCATGTGCCAGAGATTTCTGTATGTCTTTAGCTGACACTCTGGGATTCTTCTTTACCGCATTCAGCATTCTGTGCTGTGCTCTTGCAGTCATTTGTACAGGACGACCACGCCTAGGGAGAGTAGCAACAGTGCTAAACTTTCTCCATGTGTAGACAGTCTGTCTTACTGTGGACACATGAACATCAAGGCTTTTGGAGATACTTTTGTAACCCTTTCCAGCTTCATGCAAGTCAACAATTCTTGATCGTAGGTCTTCTGAGAGCTCTTTTCTGCAAGGCATGGTTCACATCAGACAGTGCTTCTTGGAACCAGTAAACCAAAACAGGTGTGTGTTTTTTAAGGGCAGGACAGATGTCAGCAACACATCCAATATCATCACACTGATTGGAGTCAAGGTTGGCTCACTCCTGGCTCCAATTAGCTCTGGGAGAAGACATTAAGCTAGGGCCTCACATACTTTTTCCTCCCTGCACTGTGAATGTTTACATGTTATGTGCAATTAAACCATGGCAACATCTAATGTTTGTGTAATATTATGTTCAGCAGACTGTGTTCTTCTATTGTTATGACTTAGATGACGTTCAGAGCACATTTTATGCCCAATTCATGCAAACCTCCACGTAATCCCAAGGGGTTCACATACTTTTTTTTTCTTGCAACTGTATGGCCTGTCGGTTTGGGAAGAGACAGTACTTTTGCTATTTTTTGCTTGATCAGTTGAAACAAATAAGCGTGACCCAACTTCCATAAACAAATTGTGCCCTAGGGCCGCAGGTCTCAACAGCCAGGTTCCTGCGTACCTCAACAGCAAAAAGTTGATAATGAAATCTAGAGACCACCTGCATTCCTTACTATTATTAAAATCATTAGCAGTATCAAACATCCATATCTGCAAAAGAACGCTAATGCATTTCAGCCAAAGCTTTAAAGTGGTTGTAAAGACTAAACCTTTTTTACTTTAATGCATTTCCTGCATTAAGGTAAATAATGTCCCAGTATTTGTATTGCCCCCTCTCCCCCGTATACTTACCTGAGCTGCTGTGCCAGTCTGTAGTGGCCCTCTCCTCTCTATTTTCTCACAGAGGTAGCAGCGGGAGCCATTGGCTCATGATGCTGTCAATCAAATCTTGTGAGCAGAGAATGGGGAACAGGGCTGAGCTGCACTGTGTGTGTCTATAGATGCACACAACCCGGATCGGGAGCAAGTTTGCAGGTGTGCACTGATAGGAATCAGCTTCCTATGGTGCTGCACTGAGAAGAAAAGCCTAGAGTGCCGGCAGGGCAACCCAGAAGGGAAGGTTTTGGGTCACTCAATACCTTTTGCACATAGCAGGTAAGCATAACATGTTTGGTATTTAAAACAAAATGTCAAATTTACCAATTCCTGACCGCCCTATAGCAGAAGTACTGCTACAAGGCGGCAGGGATGCGCAAAATCACATGTATATATACGTGACTTGCATTTATGGATAGGGGGCGAGCATGCGTTCCCTACCCGCGCCGCTATTGGCTCCTTGGCATGTCAGTCACCGGGTCCCAGCTGCTGATTCTCAGCCAGGACTCGGCGATCCTTGGTGGAGCTGACCGGGGAGAGGTCTGTGTGTAAACATCACAGATCTCTCCCCTGTCAGCACTGACATGCTGCTTTGTATTGCTCTGCACAGTCCAATAAAGAGACGCTGTCAAATTTTTCTTCGGACGCATCTGTTTATTAAGTGTAAACACATTTTTACAACAATGCCCCCCAAAAAAACAAAATTTTTAAGTACGTTTATAATTTTGTTATTGTTATTATTATTACATCGAGTTTATATAACGCCAAAGGGTTTGCTCAGCGCTGTACAATAGAGGGGGACAATACATGAAACGTACAGCAACTACAAACAGCACACGAGGGTTAGAGGGCCGGGCCACATTCATGGCCGTCTTGGGCCACATGTGGCCCTCGGGCTGCAGGTTGGACACCCCTGCCCTAGGACAAGAACACTGCATTTCTGGCAAGATCCACAGACATTTTCTGTACTTTCCAAAAGTGTGTTCTTTGCCTGAAGAATGAAAACTAATGCATCCACTACATGTAAGGACTGACTAGCTCCAATATAATAAACATTTGTTCTTGGGTTTAGTTATGCTTTAAGAGCCTTGACCATTTGCCTATGGTTGAGTATTATAAGAAAGTTTTATTAAAAAATAGACATATCATGACATGCTATACGAGCTGTTTTTATAATTAAATTATATAAAAAATAAATACCTTTCTGTTTCAGGTTGCAGACAGCCTTAATTTTTTATAACTGCTTTGAGAAAATGTTTTTGGCAACCTGTTGTATACATTTATATGTTGGGCTTACAGTGTTTATTGCAGTACTGGCACTGAAATGTGATTTACAATGAGAGAAGCCTGTTGCACTGCATAATCCTTTTGAAAAAAAAAAAATGTAGCCCTTGGACTTGCACAAGGCCTAGCCCTACATGGGCAATTACATCTCTGCTACCACAAGATACTACTGCTTGTTGGAAGTCGCCTTATTTTCAGACACTGAAATAGATGTGATGCTAAAGAAATAACTGTTAATCAGCTGTTAAATCTTGCCACTATAGTCCTAGGCTTAAATGTCAGAAAAAAAGCAAGCAAGGACCAGTGTAGCCTTAAGCTTGAGTTCAGTACCTCAGAAGGGATGCAACAAGGACCTGCATAAAAGTTACTTATCCCAGGACTCTGCATTCACTATATCCAGTTTTCCACACTACACATGGAAATGCAGTTATTTTAGTAAACATAAACTGCTAAATACCTTTTCTCATCACCAATATATAGCAGACTTGTGGCTTCTATCGGTACCGGTGCCGTGCACCGGTTAATCTTGTAGGAGGAGTTTTTATTCTCCTCTGACTGTCCTATGAGGTTGCATGACCCCCGACCCTCAGGACAGCTCTGATTGGCCCTGTGCTCATCACATGCACCCTCCCAAAAGAAAAAAAAACTCTAGCAATACACACCAAACAGAGCATATGCAGACTTGCCACTGCTGCTCTGTACTATGGCAGATGGATAAGGGACAGTAAAAGAAGGGAGAATCAGAGATGACAGGATCAAACCGCTTTTTTACACAATGTGGAGGATTAACCCCTTGGGTTCCAGAGTGAATATAAGAAGCAAACAAGCATGCTATACTGCATATACAGGCTGATTTTACTATTGTTGGTTTAGTAACACTTTAATTTAGCTCAAGTCCTTGCAATGTATATAGTTGATCTGAAGATTTCACAGTTTTACGTATCTTTAGATTAGGATCACTGGGACACCTAACTGAAAGATAATATAATTGTTCTGCTGTAACTCATTAAAACTGGTGTTTTTCTTTTTCAGCTCAGACAGTGAGACGTTCTTTGACCACATCTATGTCTGTCACTAACATTGTTCCTCAACAACCCTTAGTAACAATGCCAGCACTGCCGGATATCAACCTGTGCCAAGTCATTCTATGTATTCTCAGCAGCCTGACAAGGCTTATCTTCCCCCACCATATCCAGGTGAGGTACCTGCCTATTCCAGCTATCCAACTAATTAAGGTGGTAAGTGACCTTTGTTTATTTTGCAGCCTTTCCCGCTAATGCCATGAAAGAATTGCTCCAGTCATCCGTCAACTAAAAAAAGATGTCGCTTTGGAAAGCTTTTACCTGTGTCCGTAGCGCTGTCCTTTTCTTTGCATCATGCTAATTGGCAGCACAGCGTTCTAAAAGCTTTAAGAGGTTCTGTTGCCTCTTGGAAGCTGAGTTCAGGTCTGCTCAGCTCTCACATATTATCTGGTTCAGGCCCGCTCAGTTCTAACATATTATCTGGTTCAGGCCCGCTCAGTTCTGACATATTATCTGGTTCAGGCCCGCTCAGTTCTAACATATTATCTGGTTCAGGCCCGCTCAGTTCTGACATATTATTTGGTTCAGGCCCGCTCAGTTCTGACATATTATCTGGTTCAGGCTGCTCAGTTCTAACATATTATCTGGTTCAGGCCTGCTCAGTTCTAACATATTATCTGGTTCAGGCCCGCTCAGTTCTGACATATTATTTGGTTCAGGCCCGCTCAGTTCTGACATATTATCTGGTTCAGGCTGCTCAGTTCTAACATATTATCTGGTTCAGGCCTGCTCAGTTCTAACATATTATCTGGTTCAGGCCCGCTCAGTTCTGACATATTAACTGGTTCAGCCCGCTCAGTTCTAACATATGATCTGGTTCAGGCCCACTCAGTTCTGACATATTATTTGGTTCAGGCCCACTTAGTTCTGACCTATGATCTGGTTCAGGCCCACTCAGTTCTCACATATGATCTGGTTCAGGCCCACTCAGTTCTGACATATTATTTGGTTCAGGCCCGCTCAGTTCTGACATATTATCTGGTTCAGGCTGCTCAGTTCTAACATATTATCTGGTTCAGGCCTGCTCAGTTCTGACATATTATCTATCTGGTTCAGGCCCGCTCAATTCTGACATGTTCTCTGGTTCAGGCCCGCTCAGTTCTCAGATGCTGAGGATCAAGTGTCACATAGGAGCAAAAATTTAACATTTCTGCACATTCCCTGAAGAAAGCATAAGGAGTCCATAAAAGTAATTTTCTTTCATGAGAAGGGTTGTAGTTTTTCTAAAATAATAATGTTGTTGTGTTGCCATTTAGAGAGGACATGTCTGCTGTGTTTTCATCAGCCATGCTTTTGCATTTAAAGTGTAAGCTTACCTTTACAGCTCAAGAAAAGGAAAACATTATTGTATCATTCGTGTGTGCATATCCTTGAGTGTCCATTCACACCATTGCAATGTGTTAAATGTACGCTGCTGTGTGTGTTGCGCTAAGGTAGCCCATACACTTAATTCGGTTGCTTAATGCATCAAAATGTACCAGAAAGGTGCGTTTATCATTTCCGACAGTGCACCACAGTACACAATATTCGGTGAATTACGTGTCTGTCAACAAGGTGCATTCTGGTGCCATTAACGCCGAATAGCACCGCATCACACAAACACATGTAGAGTGATGGGGGCTCTCTGCAATCCCTCTGTGTTTTTAAGAGCCTTGTCCTTCTTACCTGGAACTACAGGATATATTCTTTCTTCCTGTTGGCGGGGGAGCAAAGGAAAGAGGTGTGTATGCTGTTGGGGAAGGGAACATTAAAGCAAGCTTATTGCATTGCCCTAAGCATTTGGGGTTACGTGTGTGAGTGTACTCAACTCCATCATGAGCAGATGACGCAAAAAAACAGAAGGGCAAAAGTTTTTCTGATCACACAGGAACATGCTAGGGTAGCTACAGTAACTTTTTGTATAAAAAAAAAACAAACTCCATTATTGCAACAACTGATTGCAGAGAAAGGCAAGCAGGAACTCAGTACAATCTCAACTATTGATACTGATGTTATTTTTAATTCATTATCTGTAACCTCTTCTTCAGTTGTGAATCACTTTATAATAACAGGTAGGCAGGAGCTGCCAAGAACATGAACATGATCAATACGGACATGTGATACAAGGCAGATTCTTACTACTGTAGCAATTAAAAAAATACATACGTTATAACCAAATGCTAGTAATACACATACGCTGTATATCGTTAGTAATTTTAACAACCTGATTGACCTACCAAAATCTCCCATGTACATCCAGGACTAATAGATACCTGTCAACACGTGGTTATATATATTAGTGGAAAGATTAAATGGCCTGCCTAGCATAGCACTTGCACACTTGACACCTTGACATTCACACCTGAGCGTTTTGTAGCTCAAAGTTCCAAAACGTTCAACATCTAAAAGCCCCCAAAATTTCAAAGGTGGCTTTTAATATATGAGCGCCTGTACCTCAACACCTGGCACTCCAAAAAGCTACACGAGCTACTTTTTTACAAAATTAGGCATTTTTGAACCCATAGACTTGAATGGGAAACTCCTAAAAGTGCGCAAACCAATCACTTTAGTGTGCTTTTTCAGGCATTTATTTACCCTGTAAGAACTGACCATCTCTCCCCTGTGCTTTTTGATGGCTAAAACAAAAATGCTTGAAGCTTGAATACACATGTAAAATGTTTGAAATACACTTCTAAAATATTCGTATATGCATGCAAAAACACACAAAAATTCTGAAAGAAGAAAACTGAAAAATGCTGTGTGCATGTGTGAGTGCAGCCTAAGTAGTGGGCGCCTCTGCTCCTTTTACACATTTCTTTTGTCCCCGTGACAATATTGGAGGTGTTCTGCACACTGTACAGACCTCAACAAGAAATTTTATTTTCTGTTCATGTACTTGGCCTGTTGCTTTGCACAACTGCAGATGCACTCAGGGAAGGGCACCCTTGATAAACATTTCTTCTTTCTCATAAAAAAAGAACGCAATCAATTATATCTTGGGTAGAAAGGTAAACATGCTCTTTAAAGCTCGCTTGCACACTTTTTTTTTATGCTTTTTAGTGGTTTTACAGCTGCTATACTCCTATAAAGACATACGTTGAAAGGGTACAATTGCAGATCTTATGGACTGGTAATGGGGTTTAGCAACATAGGGGGCCCAGTACTGTCTGGCTGTGTAAGGACTGAGCATAAAGTGACAGGTTCACATTATAGTCTTCCTTTCCCACTACTTATAATTACTTGTCACTTGCTTCCTCATCAGAGTGAAATGATATATATGCTATCCAGTATAGGGGAGGGTCCTTACCTCTGTGTGAGCTCTGACCAGGCTGACTGTAAGTTTATGCTGGGCCTTGCTGTAGTGGGTAAACAGGACGGGGGGAGGGAAATAGAAGGCAAGTATACACTATTACAAGACAAGCAGGCCGCGCCGCTCCAAGCCTCCTGTGCATAACTTCTCAGATCAACTTCCACACTAGGTGTCAGTCCCAGAAAGAGCACATCCCATTCCACACAAATGCTGTGGTACAAAAGCTGATGACATCAAACATTCAGTTAATTCTAGGTCACTGGTTTCTGCACAGTCAGTCCCCGTCCCTTGGCGAATCCCCTACTGATGCGTTTCATCTGGATACATCCTATGATTAAGCCCAATCAAGGTGATTGGCCAAGGGACGAGGACTGGACACAAGTCAGTGACACAGAGTAAACTGAATGGTTGACGTCATCAGAGTGCGGCCTTGAGTTATTGTACTACAGAAGTATAGCATTTATTAGTAATTTTTAAGAAGTTGTATGTGTGAACGGTGTCTGAAGCCTCTATAACTTAGAACGGTGTGTTCACAGACACTCCCCTATTTCTCAATCAGCTATTAACTGCAATATTGCATTGGATGGCGAAGTTCACCTTTTAGAACATGTTGTTCCACCCGTATTTAAGATGAAACATGTTCCTGTTCCTGCCGCCAGTCCCCCCAATACCCCCTCTCCCTGTGACAGCAGACAGGGTACTTTTCCCCGCACCCACTGTCACTTTTTGAAAAGCGTGCAGGCGTTTGGGGCTCTGCCCACACAGCCATGTCATTCATTCACAGTGTCCTGTGAATGAATGAACTACAAGTACCCTCATTCACCATGGCTGACAGCTTCTAGTTCTGAATGGACTGCAAGGGGGCTGATGAGCGTTCTCGTAGTTCATTCACAAGCCCTGCAGCTGCAGACAGCCTGTATGGAGGTACTGGCAGAAAGCTGCAGGACTTGTCTGCAAAAGCCTGACATTGCACCACTGATCACGGGTGAAATACTTTCCAGGCTCCTGCAGGAACAAATAATAAATGCATATTTTTTTTCTGCAAAGATTTGTGCATTTATTATTTTTTCTGCAGAGGTAAACTTATCCTTTAAAGGTAATATAGTGGACATTGCTAAGTGGGTAGGCCTTTTTACCTGAATCCCACCCCCATCCCTTCCCCAGAGCAGTGCTGATGTTACCACTCTAAAATGTAGTAATTATTTAGTTAGGCAAAGAGGTATAATAAAGTTAACCAATGCATTTCGACTACATTTGGTCTTACCATCCAGACATCAATAACCTCTGGTTATGAAAAGGTCAGGGTGTTTTTGTAAACCTTCTGTGCTGATAATCTAGTGTATCAGTTGCCTCTATTTTTTTGTGGTCATAATATCAATATCCATTTTTGTACTTAAAAACTAGAACTAAAAATGTCATAATCTGTTTCTAGTTTGACCAGGCTTCCCCAGAATTTTTAAACAGCCCAGTTTTAGCTGTAGGCCTCTTTAACAAGGGCGTTCCAAATGCTGGATTTTCATCTTTCCGTTTACTGATCAAAATCGGACACCCGTGTACTTCTATGAACTAGCGGATGTAAACGGATGACCATACATTTACATCCGTTAATGTCCATATCCGTTAAAATCTGTTTTTTGGGGGGTTTTTTTGAGTGGAAGAAAACCCTATTTTTCTTCCGTAGAAAAAACGGAACGGATGTAACCGGATGAAAAACGGATGTAAACTGATGAAAAATAGATGTAAACTTATTTGCATTTCCTTTGAAAAATCGTGCCTGAACTGATGAAAAAACGGAATGCCCGTGTGAAAGGAGCCTTAGGCACATAGATGTTCCGTATGTCCGTTTTGCATCTGTCTGTTTACAGATGAAAAATGGACACCCATGTATTTATATGGACTAGCGGATGTAAACGATAATATCCGTATGCGTTAATATCCGATTTTTGTGAATGGAAGAAAACCTTATTTTTCTTCCATTAAAAAAAAAATTTAAAAAAACAGAAGAAAAGCGGACAAAACCGGATGTAAACTTATAAAACAACAGATGTAATCTGATGAAAAATGGATGTAAACTGATGAATAAACGGATGAAAAAACGGATGTAAACAGATAAAAACTGTATGTAACCTGAAATGTTTTTTTCTTTGAAAACACATGACTGAACTTATGAAAAAAAAGTAAACACCCGTGAGAAAGGACCAGTAGTGCAACTTCAGCCAAAATAGTTTACGTTTTTGACAAGTCTGGGGAAGTTTAGAACTTTTTATTGCTGTCTGATGTCTAACTGCCTTTTTTCTTCCATCTCAGTGGTAAATAGAACGAGAAATGACAGAAACCGCAATAAATTGTTGATTGGGGTTCTAGCCTTTTCCTAATGTTCTAGAAAAGATTGTGTTCCTCCTGTCTGTGTCCCAATAGGAGATTTCTCTTGACTTCCTGTACGGCAGGCATTGTTGGTGGAACTGGAAGTGCAATGGTCTCTATAATGGGCTACAAAGGACAGTAAAAACTGACACAGGTTTTATGCATTTGTGCTATACAAAACAAAAAAAAAAAGTTTTATCTGGATATTTTGTTTAATTCATGTAAATATGAATTTGTTTATCCTTGTTTCTTGCAGGTGCAGATAACTTCGCTTATGTGGATTCACCATGAACATATCATTCAGTTTCTAGTACCATGGGTAGTTGAGAAACCACTGTTTTGTAACGAACAAAAAAAGGTGTCAAACATCTTTGTTTCCTATTTCTATACACTTTCTTTGTAAATGTTTATTGCATTCACTGTTTTCATATTTCATCACCATTTTATTAGAGGTAGCCTATTAGTTAAGTTATACAGACTTTTATACTTGGTGTGCAGAAGATGTTGAAACCTATATGCTTTGTGTTAAGCTTTCATACAGTACAAACAAGAATTTTTGGTATTTCTCAGTGCTCCTTTACATGGGCACTCAGCCCAATGCAGCGACCAGAGCCATTTGCCACGCCATTCAGCCCATAGAAAGTGAATGGATAGGCATCAGCTGTGCACAGGGTACACAGGGATGGTTACACATACCTAATTTCATAGGCTCTGTGTCCTGATCCGTGCATACCTGTCAAACTCGGCTGTGTGGGTGAGTCCGCACAGCTTATGTATACCAATTCACATTCTATGGGTTGCTCTGGCTGCTACAAGGAGCTGAGTGCCTGTGTGAATGAGACTTTAAATGTAACTTTAGTTATTCAAAAATGTATGTCATGTGTATTATCATTCATAAACAATACTGCTGTCTGATTGTAAAGTAGAACACCAACCAAAACATTTTTTTTTTTTTTTTAAATAGTTGAAATGGTGAATCTGTGTTTAATTTTTGAGGGGAGATCCACCCTCTCTTGGTTGTAGTGACAGTTGTCACTGGGATAGGAAGTTAGAGGAAATACAGAATTATGGGGTTCTCAGTAGAAGGAAGGGTATATCCTCATGATTCCCACTCACTTCCTGAGACAGGAAATGCAGAGGAATCTCCTCAATGAAGAAAACGACTGCAGAAGAACCTGACAAGAGATTCTAATCCTTCCATCTATGATTCAAAATGGGGAAAAAAAAAGCTTTGACTAGAGTTCTCTTTAATGCTAGGTTCACATTACTGCGGGTGGTTGCGTGTGCAGGAATCGCAGCTGTTCCCACAGCCAATCCCTGCAGATGGGGGAAACACAGGGAAATTGTATAATGCAAAAGCCCCATGTGATTTCCCAGCCATTGCGTTTTCAAAATGCTGCAGGAACCTTTCTCTTGCGTGAAATTCAGGCACAGCAGCCCATTCGAATGAATGAGCTGCTGTGCCCACAAAAATGCAGCCCGCAAAGCTGCAATAGTGTGAATCTGGCCTTATTGTAAAATAGCCATTTAGTTCTTCCTTGAGAAGAAACAATCTTAAAGGGAAACTATAATGTTTTGGGTGAATGTTTTTTAGTTGTTTTTTTTTGTTGATACATTTTTAAACTATTGTTCTTTACATGTTTTTTTTTTTCTTACTGTATATTTTACAGTCTTTGTTTTATCAAATAAACATTTAACACATGACAATGGATTCCCAGAGTATTATGAGTCAGCTAAGGAGCCATCACAGTGATGCTATCTGTATTCTCTGAAAATTCTCTTAAAACCTCAGTCATCCAATAAAAGAGGAGTCATTCACTTGTATGTGTAAATTTCATATGGAGTTCTGAAAACAGGGAGAAAATGTGAAAGAAGCCTAAAGAGTTACTTGCTGGCTCAGAAGGAGAAAATAAAATACTGATGTGCATTATTTCATCTTTACCTAAACTAAGAAAAAAAATATTCATTATTTTCCTTTATTTTTAATGATTGCATTGATTAGAGACTTTTATTAATGACCCATTCCACTCGTCAAAGTTGCATTTAAGGCTTCCTGTCCATTTCTATTTGTCAGTAAAGCAAAAAACAAAGCCTCACTGTCACAAAGGGCTGTGTGACGATCGCGCGTCAGACCCCAGCCCTTCTCACCAAACTCGTGACCGAAGGACTAGCCAATCTAAAACCACGATGTCACGTGCGTAACAATGCCACGCCCACCTGCACAACAATTTTCCAGCTAACGGACCACAAATCGATGTACTGGCAGCCTGAATGCGATTGTTACTGGGTCAGGTTAATTACGCAATTAACCCTTCACACTGCCACCGCCTCCTTTTTGTACAGAGAAAGAGTAAACTGCTGCCGCGGGTTTGCCTGACCAGGGCACAGAGCCACTGTTCCCAGGGGTTCACCTTGGGGTGATATGCACGGCGGGAGAACCAGGTTCCTTCTGAGAAGGAAGCTGTTCTCCCCAGCAACACTGCTGTGCCAATCAAGTGAGTGGTCATGGGTGAGCACCAGACGGCTGTGACTATTCGGATATTGTTGCGACTGCCGGGGTGCCCACCTGTTCACAAAACACTTATGTTTAGGGGTGTCATCGGCTAACATATTAAGATGTAACTTCTTGTTGAGGTAAAAGAGATTTCCTTCTCCCATCTTCCTCAGGTCTAGGACGACATTTGACCCTAAGGTAGTGGCGCCTGTGTGTACCGGAACCACACAGACGAATTCTGGAGCTCGCCTCCCAGATGGGTCCACAGGTACCTTCATCCAAGATGAACAGTCCTCTTTACCTGATAGCATCCAGGACACCAGTTCCGCCAGTTTCCTGTCTGCCAGGTCAATCACAGGTCCAGCTGAGCCGTGATAGTTGCACCCAGGCGTCTTACCGTAGCCGGCTGCACCCAAGACTGACGTAACCTGCTTTTTGGCCTGGGGAGTAGGCCAGGCCACAACTGCCTCAGTCTTCCCATGCCCAGACCTCGGGGGGTCTTTTCCTACCGGTGGTTCCCAAAGCTGAACCACTGATGTGCCCCTCTGACAGTTACCATTCTTGACTGTCAGACTAGGCACGAGCAGCTTGTTCTTGACTAGTGACAGGGGCCCAAGTTGCTCTTCCCAGACAGGGTCGAAAACCGCAAGGCCCCTGAAGTGGGCAACTGCACACAGTTCCACTCCACATTGTAGGTCATTCCTGACCCCTGGGGAGATGGTTGGTGCGTTCTCAACCCCAACTAGCTTTCCCGTGAATTCAGGCAAGCCATATGGGGTGGTGCAGGCTGACTCGTCCTGAGCCTCCTGGGTTAGAGATGGTGGCCCATACCCCCTGCTTAGGTCTATGATGGTTAAACAGCGGGCACCTTTCGGAGGCGTCATTACCTCATGGCATGGGGTGTGCCACACCCACAGGGCTGGTGCTCAGTTTTCCAAGGTCCTCAAAAAGCCTGGTCATCTGATCCTGTTTGGGGATCGAGACTTTCGGGGATGCCCAGACTCTAGCTGACCCCTGGATTCCTGACTGTGCTATTCCCTCTGTCTCTTTGGCCCATTCAGCCTGCACCTCCTGGGAGATGAGGTTGGCTGAAGGCATGAGGGAGGGATACACTCTGCCGTCCAACTCCTGAACAGCACGGTGAGCTCTCCCCGGATTTTCCTGAACCCAGACACCATCTATCATAGGCATTGCCAGCAGTTTCTGTACCTGAGTGGAAAGGAGAGGAGATTGGAGCTGAAGGCCGCAGCCCCCTCTCTGAGATCCGATGATCCACTCCACGGAGACCCCTCGCACTTCCAATCCAGGTGTGTTGTCACTGCCTAGGACACATGTTTTCTTGCCTGGTGACACACCAGGACAGGTCAGATCAGATGACAAGCCCCCTGCTGGTAGACCATTCCATCCTCCCTGTCAGGCCTTTGTTTACCCTTCTCAGCAGGGAAGCTCACAGCTAGCTGGTGGCTGAAGTCCACATGTGAATTGCTTTTCAATGCTGCCTTACACGTGGAACTACAAGTCCCAGCCGACTGTCCAGTACCATGCAAGGACAATGGCTGAGCGCTTATCAAGGTAGAATCCTCTGGGCCTGGGCAAAGAACAGGCCTATCCAGACCATCCCTTTGCTCAGCCCCCAGAGATTTTACCTCTGCCCCCTTCACAGCACTGCGGGTGACCCCCAACAATGAAAATGCATCATTTGTATCATCATGACCATCATAATCATCATTAGCATTACCAACATTATCATCAACATTACTGACACTATCAATATCAGCATCACCGTCATCATTATCATTATCAACAGTTACGTTTATAATATCAATGACACATGAGTTCTATACCTCCCCAGGCAAGGGGATTTTCTTCTCGTTCTTCAGCTAATGGAGAATCCTGTAGCCCCCCTCCATTTCCAGCCCCCTCCCTCTGTCTATCCACAGGTTGCCCAGACATTACCCCAACATCTGCACACAGTACCTTGGCATGTCCACAGAGTTCCAGGGGGACCTTTCGGGTATTCTCGGCAGGGGCAAAATAGGAAACAAGAGTGCCTAGATCAGCACCCAACAGAACAGGTGTGGGAATTTCATCCGAGACCCCCACCTCCCTCATCCCCCTTCCCGCACCCCAATCTATGAATACCTTTGCACAGGGTATGCGTGAATGGGTCCCCCCAACTCCTGTGAAGGTAAGGAACTTTCCTGGGATGAGGTTCCTTTGCTCAATCACCTCTGGCCGGATCAATGTGACTTCTGCCCCGTGTCACGGAAACCAGTTACAGACTGGTTGCCCACAGTGACTAGCTGCAAGTTGGCGGGGGGTTACTCGCATCTTCCTGCGGACGAACAGCACAGAAGAAGAGTTGCTGGCCGGCTGGCCAGGTGATGTCATCTGCTTTTGCTCAGGACACTGCGTCCTGAGATCTCTGGCTTTCCCACAGGTGAAACATCTGCGGATGTCAGTCAGGAATGGTTTGGCTCCAAGTGCTCAGGTGTTGGTTGAGGGGGAGCTTGACTCACCGGCATAGGAGGGGTTGCTATGGGCGATTTCTCTCCTTTCCAGGCGTTTGGAGGAGCATTGTGAGGGTCAGCCACCCACGTATGGACGCAGGTAGCTGCCAAATCAGCTGCAGCTTTAGTAGATGCTGGTTCTCTCTCCAAGACAAACTGCCTGACGTCTGCCGCACAGATATGCAGGAGTTGATCTCGTATCATAAGATCTTCTAAAGACTCGTAGGAGTCCGCTTTCAGTCCTTTAGTCCACTGCTGGAATGTGGTGTGTAAGCAACTCGCCAC